GAGCGTCGTCCAAGGGAAATAACCGATGCAAAATCGATTTTACAATTCTTCGCCTCTTCGTTCTCTGCAGACGTCGACGAGTGCGCAGTCCCGGATCTCCAGACCGAAGTCTGTCGCTACGGCTGCGTCAACACCCCCGGATCCTACCGCTGCGATCCTCCGCAGCAGTCGCTCAATGAACTGGACGAGGTGCCAAAAAGATCGGACGACTGCCTCGTCGGCTACGAGGTTACCTCCAAGCGAAACTGCGTGGGTAAGTCGACTGAATCTTGACATTCAAGGGGAAAATTTCATTGAAAAATGTTAATGAATCCCCGACAAAAGCTTCGGTACTTTGTAGATCGCTAGCTGCCTTAAATAAGAAAAACGATTAATTGTCTTGAAAAATAATGCTCTATACTTTATAACGTTGAGATCAAATTACTGTTAAAGAAAATTAGCGTAGGACTGTTGATGTCCGCTTGGCATTCTCATTTATTTTTTCTTATGTCCGTGATCTGCTCATCAAACTTATGAATAAACCACTAGTTTGTACAATTTACGATATCGATGTTGATTAATGCTTAAAAAGTCTGAGAAACTTAATCTATGTGTTTGAAATGATAATATTCGCACAAAATATTTTACATTCTAACAGCTCGTTTCATGGAAAAGTCTATATTTAATTTATATTATCTTCAGTTAATAATGTTAAATCAATTAGCCATGAAATTTAGCTTACCCGAAAATTAATTGAAATTTCATTGACCTAATATAATACGTAAGACGGTGTTAAAATGTAATGCATTAATAATTATGGCAGAAGCAAGCTTTATTATTGGTGAAAATAATATAAATAAATCCATATGAATAGATGGATCATTTATTTTTGAGAAATATCGTATGCAAATTTAGAGAAAATTAAAACAGTACGAAACATAAATCATTCCAACATATGCGATCGATTAATAAGATATGACGATTGTTTTACAATTGGGATTTTATTTGCGAATAAACAGATATTTCATTGTATTTATATGATAGTAATATATGTATTAGATAGGCAGATAAGCCAAATGCATTGATAAGTGTCACTATTAAATTAGCAAAGAAAGTTTTATGATTTTAAAAGAAAGGTAGTGAAAGTTTATTGAATTAAATCATTTATTTAATCATAAATTTATAGCCAAGATGACCATACTTGTTACTCTATAAATAATTTATACTTTTTGCAATAAGTTCGATCGTTTCGATTTCACTTGATATAAGTGTCATTTCAGGTTCCTATATTATTAATATTTAAAAAATTAATTTTGGAAAATACAATAGATATTTTTATTTTACTACTGTCACTCATAAAAATTAATAAGAAAATTAATAAATCAATAAACACATTTTATTAATTAAAAAAATTATAATATTTAAATTGGCTATATAGATGAAAAATTTTGTATTCTATTATATAATTTATATTATTTCTGTTATATATAATAACGTTTATTATAAGCATATTAAAGGAATTCATAAAAATATGATCGCCATCATGATAAGTGAAAGATACGTAATATTTGTGATATTAATAGTCGTGATAATATTCAAATGAAATTTATCATAAATAATATTAAAGATAAATTTTTTACATTCTTATTGATTGCAGTTCAATCTTTTTCATTGTCAAACTAATCATTGAAGAAAAGACATAAAGCACTCCCACGAGTTTAGTCGGCAATTAAAGAAATTGCGAAGCTTTATTCAGATTGCCCAAATATAAATCGAAAATTGTTATTAGAAATTCATTAAACAACGCGTAATTGAATCTTCTTGAGCCATAAAAGAATAGAGATGAAATCAGCTGGAGAAGTGTGTTTGAGTGAATGATTACGTCTCCTCTTTTATCTCTTTATTCTAGTATTCTCTTTTCTCTACGTATTTATTCTTTTTATAAAAAGCTTCACTTTCCAAGTGAGCGAAGAAATTTACAATACAGTCAAAGACTGATTACACTATTCATTCAATAAAGATCCTTATAGAAAAATTCATTAATTAACGAAGGATTAATCTTCAATACGATCACAACATATTTAACGGATAAATTCGATTTTCATAGCAGTGAGATTAATTATAATTTAACATAACTAAAATTTGATAATAAGATGATAAATTAATTTGTTATAATATATATATATATATATATATTTCTTTATTTATTCATATTTTAATTTATTAATTAGTTTTCTTAGAGATATGCAAATAATATATTTTTTTTTTTTTATTTTCGTTATGCTCAAGCATGGCACTTCAGACTGAATGAGAATTCCAAATTTGACAAAGTCTCGGGTACGGTGACGAGATGTTGCATCGTTCCTTGTCTCGGTACATTGTTCTTCGAAATCTCCTTACTTATACCATAATCGTTGGTGTAGCCTTTGCGATGTAGCTTGAGAAGATGGAAGCTCAATGGTCCGTAGAAAAGTCGTTTTACTCGCGGTAATGAAGAAGTTCAAGATAAATGACGCGAAGTATTACGTATACTTAAGAGGATATACCGACATTTTCCTTAATCTTTTCATAATAATGACTCCTTCTTTTCCCTAATTTATGAAAAATTTATTAATAATGGAAGGCCTTTTTTACTCTTATTAATTTAGCCTTCAAATTGTTAACTATAATGATTATTTAAGTACTTTATCCGTGGCAGGGGGGAGGGGGAGGTGATGGTAGGAACTATTCAGTCTCATTAATATCAATTTTTTATGGCATTTTTAAAGACTGATTTAAAAAAATTATGGCACTCGATCAAATTCTTTTTACCTTATAAGATATTTGAATATTATTTAATTAAAGTTTTAGTATTTAATAGTCTTTCAACACACCGATGAAAAGCTTAATTAATGGGATAATTAAATTTTGCCAACAGTAATTGAGAAATATTTATAAAACTTTTTAAATTTTAAAAATACCTTTATCAACTGGGTAATGTATTAGTAATTGTAATAACAAAATTTTAATCACATATAGTACATACAATCACATAATAGTACATTCAAATAATTTGCCATTTCTTAAAAGAAATCGAAGTTTTTCCATTGGACCTTAGTAATCTATAAAACATATATTATTATTTATAATTGTTCATTATTCAATTCAAGAATAGTAGAATTCAAGAATATTCAAAAGCCAGTAATATCAATACTATGCTTTGCAACATATTTTTTTAAAAGTACTTTGTTCGCAAGGTACGAAAATTTGAAATTGTCAGCAAATGCGTATTCGCTTATTATTTAAAAATCATGGAAGTATTTCTCACGCCTTCACGCGCGTGCGCATCTGCTTCTTCTGTAAATTAAAAGGCACTTTCGCCGCTGGGATAATAATAGGAAAAGCCAGAGTCACGAATTTAAGTTTACAGGAAAGCTATAAAAGTAGCAGTGAGACACGTATTCGAATGAACTCAGAGTTAGAGTTTTTCAAAAATCACGCCTGACATTATTCGATTTATCGGCTATATCCTGCGCTATTACTATTCACTAACCCAATTCGAAATGCTGGCTCGCGTGTCCTTGGAAAATTTGTTAACAGAGTGCGTGTTAATCCATACGCACACTATCTCATGCAGATTGTCATGGCGTTGGGCCTGGCTCGTGACATTCCCTAGTGGTCTTGTTTCCTATTATTAGTGTCCGACATCTCGTGATAAAAGCACAAATTATTAAAATATATGCAATGATTTATTCGTAGCTACGTTAAAAAATATAAATGATCCGGCATTAAGTTATCGTGTAAATTAATGCTTCTTTACTGACTGCAGAACCAAATTGTCATAGAAGAAATAACAAATAATTGATTGCTTGGCAGTGTCGTTTAATATTTTTCTATTCATATGATATTTAAATGAATTTTGTGAATTTAATCCATTACATGCGAATAAATTTCAATGTTAACGGGAAGCCATGGATCATGGGCTGAGCATCAATATCTTTCCATTCCTCTTGATCACAATACAATTTGCAAATATTAATTTGCAAATTCCAGAATTATATTTCAATAAACGAAGATTGCAATCAATTTTTATTTTTATTTACATAAGCATTCTTCGAATTATTAAATAGAAAAGTAATAAAGTAATAAAAAGTAAAAGTATTGTCAATTTTCGTAGAATATTCCAGATTAATTGGTAAATATATCATAGTATGGGTATACAGAGGCCAGAGTACGTAATAATTATTTTTACTCATCTAAGAATATGAATTTCCCGATCATTAACAATTTCTTAGTTAGGTATCCTAAATTAAAAGAGGACAATAATCGCATCTCCATTGATATAGAACTACAACATATCTATAAGCAAATTAAAAAACAAATATATATATATATATATATATATATATATATATATATACACATTAATAATCAATAAGCAAAGAGGTATTATATATAATATTTGTCAAAATATTTCCTCTAAATAAGGATAATATTTAACAGAAAAAGAAATTTAAATTAAATACATTAAAATTAATGTAAATAAATTAATAAAAAAAATTAATTTTATTATACGTTTAAGGATATTTCGTCAAAAATTGATGTTTTACATAAAATTGCCGATATTCTACTCTATATTTGATGCGCTGAGAATAATTAAGTTATTAAAAAATTCTCGAAGAAATATATAATTAAAATTAAAATTAACCTACCGTGGATAAAATAATTATCTTACTATCGTTTAATTATATCGCTTCATTACACAATTATTATTATTACACAAATCTGAGGCATTTATAACAATTTAATTCGTCTCTACCAGCGTTCTTATTTCATTTTTAATAATTATGATAATTTCAATTTGACTACACACGCGAGTTAAGCTTTAATAAACATGCAAGTTTAACAATTTCACAAGAGGTTTGACGTTATATCTGCATAAATCTCAGTTTTCATAGAAGCTTTTTTTAACTGCTTTGGGCGTGCAAGCAACTAAGGTTAACTGAAACATCAAAATTTATAATTATTTTGATAATTAGGAATATCACTTATCCACGCACAAGCATAATTTGGCAATTTAATATTGAAAAAGCAATGCAGTCTGTTATTATAGATAATGGGAACTTGTCGATTGAATTAAGTAGCACAATGGTATATAAAGTTGATGGAATGACATTCAATTGATATATATTTAATTAGGTCTGAAGAACAATCAATTATCTTAATATCTTTCATTGTGCTAAGTAATTACTTAAGAATAATAATGATGTGTGACTTGTGAAATTTTAATTCTTTTTAAAATTTCTTAGTACGCTAACACAAGCTAATAATGTACGGAAATTGAAAATTTTTAGACTACTATCGAACGTTTGTATAATGTGAAATCCAAAATGCAACAAAATGGAAACAATTACCTTGGTAAATAACAGATTGCAATTATGACAACAATATTGGAGAAAGCTTTATTGATTGTCCTCGGACATTCAACAAGACATTATAAGCGGTTGGATGTGACAATGATTTAGTAGAAACGTCAAACTTCCCACGCAAAGAGAAAACGAATGAATAAATAGCAAGGACTAAGCAATACTAGACATAATCCATTTTTCACTTGTCAACCATTAGACGTTCGATGTAAAAACGTCTCTTCGACTTTTCATATAAATTATATAAAAATTGTATAATATTTTAGAATAACGATTATATTGGCAATGTAATTTTTATATATTCATTGTAATTAATGATTTGGCTATATGAAATAATAGGAGAACATAATTGAATATAATTTTCATACAAGGTATGAAATTTTTATGATGTGTTGCCAAAATCATTAATTTTCCACGATGGTTAATAATAAATATTTCATATAAGAATAATTTCATTAAGAAAATCGCGATTCTTTTAATTTTAATTTATAATTTTAACGAACCTGCATAGCACAACATGTCATACTTCTACAACTTAATATTGGTAAATTTAATGGATTTTCGAATTTCAACAAGCAATCCTTGCATTCCTTGTTGCAAAGTACGTGCAATCAAGAGTTCACGAGTAGTATAGTTAGATACAATAGTAAGACAAAGAAAAACATTGAAGCATCCTTGACTATATAAAAATGCAACTTTACATAAAGAGGCTTTCAAAATATTTTCCTTTTCAAGGTAAAAGCTCATGAATGTCGTAATCTACAATGAAGTTGTAATATCCGAAGAAATACAACCACTAACTAGTTCGATTTCAAAAGTTGGATGAGCGAATCAACGACAAATTAATGACAATCGTTGTATTTTCATCTGCTTGTTGAATTTTTCTAATTTTTCTATTATCATTGTTGTTTGCACAGAAGCAAATTGTGAATGTGTATTCAGAATATTGAACGAGCATGAAATTAACAATCTCCATTCTTGTTTATAAATCATATTTTCTTATAAAGATGTTCTTACTCACTTATTCGACCTTTCGATATCAATTATGCATAAACATTGGATGTGAATAGCTTTCAAAGTTGGTAAATTGCTTTTGATGAATAGGACATTATAAACTTTCTGTAAAATATTTATACTAAGATATAAATTATAATTTGAGCATGAATAATTAGAATCACACTCACACCATTATTTTACTTACTTTATTATTAAATTAAATTGTTGCACTTCATTTTGATTTACGAATTAACGCGAATAAACTCTACAACAAATATTCTACAACGTATTTTACAATAACATCATCAGTATTTATATTTTATAAATATTTATTATGTTATTAAATTTATTAAATTTATTAAATTTATTATATAAATGTTTTATAAAAATATTTTTCATTAAAATCTTCAAAATAAACGTAAATTTACAATTGCATATTTATATATAATTATTAATTGACTAATTTTATTTAAAGATATTAACGAGTGTGCCATGAACAATGGCGGATGTAACGAAGTGTGCGAAAATACCGAAGGAAGCTATTTCTGTGCCTGCGAAGGTGACGAAAGAATTTTATCGCCGGATAAAAAAACCTGTATTGGTAAGAACTAAATATGTAACTTATTTTCTATTAATTTTGTATAAATAAATATATCCGTAAATACCTGTCGTCCGAAATTGCATGAAACATCATTTTTACAGAATAGCAAAACCTGATATATTCAATTATCCAATTCGATTATAAAAGTTAATTACTGGAATTTAAATACTTTTATAGATCACTGAGAGTGTGAGATTCTTTCCTAAATATTACAAATAAATTATTAGTATAGTTTCGGAAAATTATTATTAACAAAATGTTATTAAAATTTTTATCACTTTAAATTCCATATATATATATATATAGTAATAAGATTTTACAAAAAAAAAAAAAAAAAAAAATGTCTGCAAATAAGTACATACAGTATTCTTCATGAAATATTCAAAACAAGGATATTACATTCTGTAAGGTATTGACTCCGGAATAGAACCATATAAATTTAAAAGAGAAAAAGCTTCCATGTATAATAAAAGTTATTCGAACACGGTTTAATATCAAGGATCTAGAAAATATTTTATAAATAATTGATCTCGGAATTTGTCCATTCTCGGAAAAAAAAAACAAAACCAAAACAATTCTGAAATAAATGCTTACAATTTTCCGAACTTTTAAATTTCATCTTAAACAATTGCACAACAATATCATAGAGTATAAATTCTAATACAATAATATAACATTAAAATAACTATGAGGAAAATTGTTATCGTATATACTTGCCCTTTGACACCTATTCTGTTCCTTTACCATATTCATGCTGTACTCAAGCAGTACTTAGTTTACATTTTCTTAAGTGCATTAACGCAAGTATTCAGTTACAAGTCGTGTACTTCGTGGATAATATATATATATCATTATAAATAATACTAAATTTCATAACGATTACTCAGAGGGCAATTTTGATTAGTTGGTGCTGTAAATCGCACATAATCTTCATATATTATTTTAATCACTTTAAATCATGATTCCGTCCTTCGCCTAGGATATTTCACTTTCTTCCTGTGCAGGCATTGCCAATAACATTATGTATTCAACTAAATAGATGCATAACGTACCCTTACTTTCAAGCAGTTGAATTATAGGTTGAATTCTCACTAATACCTGACTCGAAACTTCTACAAAATCCCTATGATCCGCATTAAATTCAAACTATGGTAAAATAAACGGCTAATTACGGAATTTAATAGTGTAGAAGAAGGACGTATTTACAGAAAAATTTCAAAAACAAACGAGTAAAACCAGTACTTATTTAATTTGAACTTTTTCCAGTTTCTTGATGCATAAAATTATTCCTGTCGTTTAATATGTACTCGTGTAATTGCCTGATACGGAGCTATTTTTATGTGCAAAAATTAAAAATTTCGACATCTTAATTTCATTATAAGTATTTGAATTTCGAAAATATAAACTGTGAGTTTTAGAATGTTAATTGTTCTAAAAATGCAATGAAATCACGACTCCTTCATAATTTTAATATATTATTCTGCTTTAATTATCCTATACGAATGAATTTTGATGAATGGCGAATTAGATAATATATTGTTAATTGGTAAATCACGTCAATTTTAAACACTTAATAAAGCATACAATACAGCTACTAATGTAATATAAAATCATTACTAACACTGAAACGATACAAATTGTGTTTAAGCAATTTCATTTTAAAGTTTTATTATCAAATTCATTTTAAGCATGAGTTTTTATTTTATTTTATATTCTTAATCTTAATTTAAATACAATATCGTTCAAGGAATTAATAATAAAGAATAAGAAATTATGTTTTATTCTAAAAAAAAAAAAAAAAAAAAACTTTATCAATTTATTGATTTTATATAATACGGACCATTGATTTTAATGGAATTAAACGTATATTATTATTTTTAATAAAAAATTTACTTTAATGTAATATTATTACATAAAATATTTATTTATTAATAATCTATTGGATTTTTGCTAAACTGTCGAATCGAGTTTTTAATGAATAATTCAAGCTCTCCTCGTATCATAGTTAATTACATAAAGAATTAATTCACCAATAGTACGAAAAATTTCATTTTAACATTGGGGCTTAAGAAATATGAGAATTAAGAAATATGAGAAATGGTAATTAACTGGTCTTTGTAACTTCGAATTAATTTGAATTTAATTAATGTATTCGATTACCAGTAATCATTTTATAATGGAGTGCTTAGGAATTATGTATTTTTCATTAATTTTTATTATAATATTTTCATTAAGCAAAAACTTAAGTGAAAAGTACTCAAGTTATTAATTAATACTATAACGATTGTAGTTAAATTATCGTGTCAATAGAAAAATAATTATGTATTGAGGTAAAATAAAAGCGATATATATCTTTACATACATTTAATGGTATTTTTGAGCCAAGAAATTATTTTTTTTTTTTTTATAAATATATATATATATATATATATATATATATAGTAGAGTGATTATTGCAATGGATGGATGAGCCGAGCTTATTATCAATCGATAAACTTAACGAAACTTATTATCCTAAATTTCTGTACAATATTTCCAAATGCGTCACATCGAATTTTCACGATATTTCTTACACAGCTTATCGATGTCACTAAATATTATACTCGAATAATAATTTCTAATGTAATAAATCATAGCGGAAATGAGAATTTCCTTAATATTAAAATACATGTGCGATTAATAGAGTAAGAAATATGCTAAACGCGAGGGACTCGGGGAGCATAATTATAAATTAAATCTACACGATATTTTAATCTACACGTTAATTTATACGCATAATTAGTAATGTAATTGTAAATTCTTCTGTATAAAAAGGAATCTGTTAAATAATTAATTAATAATGCTCACATGTAGTTTGAGCGGCATCCAATTGCAAATGTGAAATATAATTTTATTCGCCATTATTAAAGTTTCATTAACGTGCCTCATCCCATGCTCCTTCCTAAATATTATGATAAATTTCATGGAATATATAGATACAAAAAAAGCTCTCTTGGTGCTTGAAGTGACTTTATGCGGATACTGCAACGAAATTGTAATAAAATTAATGTCGAAAATTGAAAGCCCAATTGATCGCCCAATTGACCATAATTTTAATATAAAAATCAGCTATCACAATAATAGCCAACTGCACTTTGCAATAATTATAAAGAATCCTCTTGGTCGTCCTGCGCATAAAGCTAGGTGTACCGATGAATGTCATGTCACAGTTGCGGAAAAGCGTTTCGAAAGCCTCGAAAGAGAGGCAACACTGAGCTTGCGCTTTCGGAAACTCGGTGAGGTCTCGTGCTCACCTTTGAATCCAGCGGGTCGAGGTTACCTCATCTGCTCGGGTGAGGAGAGGCCGTCGACCGTGGCCACGGAGGCCTCAACGAGGCGCAAAGCCGCTGCTGCTGGCACGGATGAGGAAGATGAGGAGGGGGAGAACGAGGAGGAGGACGAGGAGGAGGAGGAGGAGGATGATGAAGACGAGGACGAGGAGGCGGAGGACGAAGTCGCGGAGACGAACGAGACGGAGGTCGAGAGTCAGCCGATACGCCCGGGTACAAAGTGCCACCTCAAGTGCCCACGCGGCTACGAGCTACACGGCGAGTACGAGCTCATGTGTCGACTCGACGGCACCTGGGACGGACCCAAACACGGCGAATGTCTACGTAAGTTCGTCCTTTCGATTAACTTGGATGGGAGCGGTATTAATATAAAGTATATAAAGAGTAGAGGCGAGTCGTCGATGAATTCACCTTCGTTATTTCTACTACTTTGCCTCACGGCATTGCCGTTGCTCGCTCGATTATGTAAGGATTGTCCTAACTATTACCAATATTCGGGGCGTGGAGGGAGGGAGGGAGGGGGAGGGGGGGGGGGGGTGTGAATCAATCGGTTTATTAACTGGCCGGGTGCAAGTGCTCGTGAATATTATTGAGAATGGATGTGAGGTAAGGAGCGGAATTTTGAAGTTTGAATCACGGCAATTTAACGACCATTTTCCAATTATACTAATACTTTGCACATCGATGAGCTCTCTCGGCGCTTCAAAATCAACGCGTCCACGAACGTGCGGGAGATGTAACGCCTAAAGTATTCCCTCGTTCTTAAGGTTACAGCAAACCGAGGCTCGACTGCCCGAAGGATATCACGGCGGAATTGCCTCCAGGCCGGGACGAAGCCTTCGTGACGTACGAGCAGCCGTCGACGGATCTCGATTGGTTTCGCTATGTACGCTCGAAACCATCCTGGGGCACGAGGCTCGAGGCCAATCTCAAGAAGGGACTCCACGAAATCACCTTCTACGCCCGCCACCCGGTATCCAAGAAGCAAACGAGCTGCACACTTAAGATAACCGTCGAAGGTAAGTTCCGCGGAAGCCCACTTTATTTATTGTTATTCGTAGTTGTTTGCATCTGCTTCGGCGTTGATACGTTGTTCGTATTAAAATCATGCAAGTTGGAGCAGTCAGTGGAGTAATAAAGTATGATTGTAAGTGGAATTATTTTAGGCAGAAGAGGTTTATGAAGGCATACATTGACTGGTATCATATTGATCTCGTATTAATAATGATGAGGCTGAGGATGCGTCATTAACATCTACGTAAACGAGTGGTGCGATAGATATGAAAAAAAAGTCCTAATAATGTTGCAGACATCTTCATTGAAAATAAATATATTTATATGCAAGCTTTTACGTTTCGTATGTCATCGAATCGATTTAATAATATTATTATTATTGTTCTTTAAAAAAAAAAAAAAAAAAAAAAAAATTTTTTTTTTTAACTATTTTACTAAAGTCATATTTCCCATAAACGCATTATAAATGCCTTAAAATTTCATTATAAAATTGTTATTTTTGCTAGCTATGTAAAAATAATTTTACGTTAAAACTTGTTCTTTAACATCTTTACTTTTAACAGAGATCTGTAAAATTTGTTAAATAATAATAAATTTTATGGCATCAAATGATTAAGTACCTCTGACAGCTAATAAAGCTTTATAAAACTTTTTGTATTTAAACTTATTAGGAAAACTAGGCACGAAGAAAGTTTTCTTTAAAATTTCGTTACGCGTTCTTCCTTCATCTTTGTTTTTCCGTTTGTAATCAAATTTACTCCCCACTACTTTTTTACTATATTATTTTACGTATCCATCCGTATTGAAAAAACATAGTAGAGAAATTAATATTATCGAAAATTAATAATTTCTTCTTCTCTGCAACGACGCGTTCTATGAACTATGAATTGATTGTATTTTAATTTATTAAAAGAATTTCGATTCAAAGTCCTTCTGAAATCAGACGACAGAGGTGCGCACGCTCGGTCGTACCGTCGTGATTGGACAAACTAAAGGCATAGGTGTTCCTTAAGCGGGGACTCACTGTCAGAGGCCTTAAAAGTGGGGAGAACTCAGATAGAAAAAATTTGTCAAAATAGAGAAGCCAAGAATAAAGCAAAAGTAGTTAACTTACCGTAGTAAATACGGCCACGATAAAGTAAGATACGAATAATCATCAGATTGCCCTCGCCAGTCCTTTCGAGATTGGGATGAAAGTGAACTACCCATCACAGGATCAGATCAAGGCTACTTCATCGCTGTGAGTACACAAAGTGTGTGCGATCTACTACATTGCCATAGCCAGTCCGTCCATGACTGGGATGAAGCAATCATTAAACAATAGAAAACACACTCGCTAAAAGGAAGTGTGCCATTTCAATTGTTGATCCTTACAAAATCAATAACAATTCATAGTCATCAAGTAGCTAAGTAGCATCTTGTGTAGTGAAACATCCATCACAAAAACTATTCCAAGCAATCGTATCTTTGTAAAATTAAAAGTAGAATACATTCGATACAACGATATTGTAATTGTAAATAAAATGTAAATAAAGCATATATTCATCGAAAACGCACTAGATTTTCTACATTTATACCCTTCGACTTTTCTCCTTCCCGAACCTTTGCTAGGGCGGGCGGCAAATATAGGCTATTCAAAATTTATTTATTAAAGAACAACAATTTTGAACGTTATTGGTATTCAATGATTCCAAGTTACATGTAAAGTGATTTTATTTAGAAAAAAAAAGCAAGTTGTAGAGAACATTTCTACAACATTTTTAACCGTTTGAATTAGAATTTTTATAAAAAAATTTTACTGGTATTTTATAGAAATGACTGGCATAATAACAAAATATTATATGTCGTTTTATATGTAAGTAAGCAAACCAATTTAATATTATTTTACCGAAGTTAATTACAAATTTAAAAGATAATTTATAATACAAAGTACAAATGTTGTTATTTAAAAGATAAGCTACATTAACTAAGGATTTTTAATTCCAAGGCAAATAATATATATAATTGGAAGTACAAACGAAGTTGTAAAAATATGACAGTATGCATAAATATTTTATAAAAATTCTGTTAAAATTCTTGCTCCTCTCCTCTCTCTCTCTCTCTCTCTCTCTCTCTCTCTCTCTGTCTCTCTCTTTCCACGCATTCTTTCTATTAACATAAAATAAACATTAAGCCAATGATAATAATAGTTAATTTATTTTTAGTATTTTTAGTTATCATTTGTAGCATTGAAGGCTTGTAATATCAAACAGTAAGTTAGTCAATGAAGAATAGAAAAACAAACACAGAAGAGAGATAGAGAGAGATAGAGAGATAGAGAGAGAGATATATAGAGAGAGAGAGAGAGAGAGAGTGGAATAGAATGGCAAATGTAGAGATCGATTACTCTACTAGAGCCGTCATCGTAGTTTAGTTGTAGATAATTTAATGAGACTCTCTCGAAATTCTCCAACTCTCCATGCCTTTGCCACATAGGAAATGCGCGCGACTTCTCTGTTCCCATCAAATGCAGCGATTCTCCGATCTTTGGAAATTCCAAATACCACCCACGCGAAACTGCTGCAAGTATTTTAAGAATTTTCATTTAAAGGAAGGACGGTTGGTAATTTTGTAATATTAACAGTAATCGAAACACTGTAAAAGTTTGTGGCTTAAACGAAGTTTAATAATAATTTGTAATCATTATAATCTATAACATTCACATATATAATATCATGAATACGCTGTACGATGTTATATTAATTAATTTTTATTTATTATCTATATCGAATTTAAACATACCGGGAAATAATCAATTCACTCGTATAATCATAAAATATTATAAATATAAGAGTTTAATTATTATTGTTGCATAATAATGAAGTGGAGTAGAAATATTTAAAATAAAACTATATAATGATAATTATAATTAATTTCAAGTTTAAGTTAGTAAATAATAAAGTTTAGGCATTAAATTTCAGATAATTTTAATGTGTGCATTAGCGAGTGAGTAACTTCTTAAATAAACATAATAAATTGAATAATATATTAATCATAAAAATAAGAATAAAATTTTTTGGAATAAAAAAGTTGGTATTCATCAAAATACAGTAATATTTTTATTATATTAAATGTACATTTTATACATATAGAACATTTAATGCCACAATGTTATTAAATAGAAGAAAAAAAAAGCAAAAAAAGCAAAAAGCTTTATGTAATATTGATATAATGCCTCTATGATATACTTATTTTATAATGGAACAGAGAAAATGTTTAATTTGTTTCAAAATTCATATGATTGTATATACTAAAAATATTTGTCCTACATTAAGGCAATATAATCATTTGAAATTCATGAAAAAAACTTATAGATCAATATCTAAATTATATCTATATTATCTATGATTATGTAAATCTTAATTTTATCTGTATTAGTAACCGATTGATTATTGAGATGTGTTAATTAGCGATTGTCTTACGTGGAAAGCGTGGGAAACGTGTAGGCAGTTATTGAAATAAAAACTAGCACATTCAAGGCAAATGTATATATATGTAGCTTGGAATTATGGTAAAGAGAGTATGGTAAATGTACTGTAAGTGACTTGCTATCATAAATTAGGCAAAAATTCTTCTTTTTTGGATATGATGGTAAACTATTTTTTTACATCCTGTACGGAGATACCGAGGATGTAAGTCGACGTTGGGTTAGTAGTCGATCTCCGTCAGCTCTAAAGTATCACAAAATTTAGAAATTTTAGAAAGCTTGAGCACCACTATCGTACATTCAGATCCAATTCAAGAAAGTCGAATCACTTGCCCGATTTTCGCATTAGCTATCTGCTCCCTTTTCAAATTTATCATTTAACAGTTCATTTTATATTTTGCACGTCGTATCTCGTGTCTGACCTTGAATACTACTGAAACCTTAAGCTTTTCTCAATATCCGGCAATTTATTTCATCGAATCCTCCGCTTTTTGATCCTTTTTTTTATTTCATTATTTAAAACCAAGATCCGCGCATGAACGTGCAAAAGAACTTGAAAACTTTATCGATCCCCTTAAATAAATATCTATTGATAAATTTATTATATTTCTGCTTAGTAGTACAATTGAAACATTTTCGCATAATTTATGAAATTTATTTACCTATTCATGAGTTTAACATGTTGCAGTAAGTATGTAGTATGGAGCATTATTTTTTGCAGAGATTATAACATTTTAAAATTATAGAGTGGTGACGCATTGAGTTTAATTACTTATATGATTTACATGTAGTTATACTCATTGTGTGGCTGAGCTATAATAAACAATAATAAACGCAAAAGTTCTCGACAATCACATTGCTACTGTCGACCATATACAAAGTAGAGAAAAACTGGAAAGGAAAGCTCAGACAATATTGTACATTTAGTTTAATAATTCCCAACGTTCTCCATTCCAAAATTTCTTACCAAAATGAACATTAATTTTACTTAATACACGGCTTAAATTTACTTTTGCTTCTGAGAATTGTGTATTATATCATTTACATCAAACAAATAATAAAGCATAGAATTCATTATTTTGTAATTTTATTTTTGCATTTAACATTGTTTTCATACACGAGAATAATATTTAACAGAAAATAATATTTGTCATTCAGATTTTATGACTTGTAATTCGTAAATTTTAAATACAATTAGAATAAAATGTGATTGTACGGCAAAAGCGAATATATTATAAAAAAAAATTATATATCATAAAGAAATTTCTACAAAATCAATTGCACGTTATTATTTATAATATCCATAAAAATTTACATATTAGTTTCGTTATTAATTTCTAATCTTTGTATTTGACATATTAATAATATTAGTTTTATATTATTTTTTTTTCGGGATTTTATTTATAATATTAAGATACTCATGATATTAATTATATATAAAATATATTCATATATATATATATATATATATATATATATATATATATATATTCACTGAAGTAATCCGTTCAAACATAAATTTCAAATTTCTCTAGTATTTCCAGTCAATTCTTATAATATAATTTATGAATAGTAATTGTAATTCATTAAACATACATACAAATCAACTATTAAAAAATAGTTCATAATAACTTGTAACTTATTTTTTTTTTTTTTAATTTAAATATTGATATTAAATTTGAATTATCATTAAAGAGGCATAAAATTGAAAAATAACTACCAAAGTATTTATAAACTTTTAAAGAAATTATTTAATGAAGGAGTTAATACTTAATTCAAGAATATAATAACAAAACATCATTTCATTTTCTCTATGGCGATTAGACTTTCTGATAAAAGTTTTCACATCAATGTCCATCATTGTTCTCCAGTCCTTATGATGATATTCATTAGCTTTGAATAAATAAATATCTAGGAACTTTATCAAAAATATAATCTATTAAACGTAAGCAGTAAGTTTTGTCTAGAAATAGACTATTATAGCTCATATAGTATCGCTAGAAATTGATTGTCGTCCAATCCACTAGTTATACCGAAAATTTTCAACCTGCTAAAGGGTATCAAAGTTTCTCCATTTACTTCAAATTACAACTGCATTGTAATATAATATAAATGATAGTAATTTATTCGCATTTGTTAGAAAAATTAAAAATAAAATTTTTCATTTACAGAGGGACAAGCACCAAAGGTCAATGGTTGCCCGAGTGATATCGAAATTACGGGGAAAAACGGTTCAGCCATAACGTGGATCGAGCCCACATTCACTGATAATATTAAAGTCACTGGAATAACTAATAATGAGGTATTACACTTTTTATTTGCTGCATTGAAGTATATTAAACTTTTGAGCTTGAATCGAATATAGAATAGGGATTTTCGTATTAATAATCAGAATATTAATGAATATCTGGAATTTTTTATCATTTTCTATTTTCATTTGACCTAAAGCTCCTTGAACGAGAATATAACTTTTTTTATCGTCACATCATTCATAAATATTTTTAAAATACGATAAAATTGCAATCAATTTTTATGGTTATTTATTGTAGTATTGTTAAAATTGCTTGTTTCAGTTGTTGGAAAAATAGTTTAATGACACATAAAAGATCAATGATTTCAATTTATATTAACTTTTAGAATTGCTTGTTAAAACTGCAAGATCGGTCACAGAATAAAATACTTTCGAGTTAAGATGAATTTATTTCAAAATGCATATAATTATAAATACTTATAAATAAAATAATTATAAAATGTCATTTAAAAGTAGAATCAGTAATTATTAAAATATACTTCCAATCACTTCCAATCAATGATGTATTTATCATAAATTTTTCTACGGCAGAGCGCGTCGCTGAAATACATTATTTTACTCAAAAATTCATTATTTGACTGATAATTATTAGTGTACTTTGAATAAATGCATTCTTTGTACTTAAGAATAACTTCACTTACTCGAATAACAGAAATGTCTTCGGCAGAGGAATTCTACGAGAGAGAGTTTTTTCAATTATAAATTCACATTCGACAAGAAAAAAAAGAGTAAAATACCCAACGAGAAAGTACAACGTTATCGAGAAGTTTGTGTTTGTTGAATTTCAATGACGACGTTCTTTTATCATGACAATGTGTTAGTATCCGATAAACTTGCCCACTTGGTGAAACTCAGCCGTATATTAAAATAATTCTTTTTTTTATTTTTTTTTTTTTTTTGTTTTCTTGCCATGTTCTTCTGCAGAACAATTAAAAACATGAAAGTAAGGGCGAAACAAAAGCCGACCGACAGCGCAATAAAGAAGAGAAACAGAAAGAGAAAAAAGTCGGGCGGTGGGCGCAATTTACGGGCGCGATAAACGGGGTAGAGGGCACGAGCGAGCACCTGGAAATAGAAAAGAACAGTGAAAAACGGCTTTGAGTTAATGCGAGCATAACAACAAAATGGAAATTAGCGATAGTACGGCTGCCGTCGGTGCTACTGCTAACCTAGAAAAAGAAAAAGAAAAAGAAAAAGAAAAACAAGGAAATTAAAAATAAAAGACAATAAAGAACAAAGCCTTTTCTGTTGGCTGTTGGTGTCGATTGCAGAGAGTGAGAGTGAGAGTGAGAGTGAGAGTGAGAGTGAGAGTGAGAGTGAGAGTGAGAGTGAGAGTGAGAGTGAGAGTGAGAGTGAGAGTGAGAGTGAGAGTGAGAGTGAGAGTGAGAGTGAGAGTGAGAGTGAGAGTGAGAGTGAGAGAGTGAGAGAGAGAGAGAGAGAGAGAGAGAGAGTGAGAGAGAGAGAGAGTGAGAGCGAAGAAAGTGGAGAAGCATGAAAGAAATCTCGCGTCGCTACGTAATTAGTCATCAAGTTATATGTAATTTTGTATAGTAAATTCCGTCGGGCGCCATATATATCTCGACTCACCGTATTATCGTGCAAAACTGGCAAATAAAATCCATTCGTATATATCTCCTCGGAGCGAGATTGCGGTAAGGACTGAGGCTTAAACCAACTCGAGCTTTTGCCGAGCTTTATTTTCCATTTATTTTTAACGTTACATCACGACGACGAAATTGTTCGAATCGCTTGCTTTTACGAAGTTTTATAATTAAATGCAAGAGGTCAGTTTTTTTCCCCCTTTTTTTCTTTTGAGCTTTTCGGGTGTCGTTGCGGCTCGTTAACTCTCCAGTAATAGTGTCATTGATTGTAATAACTTAACTGCTCGCGAGAGTAATGAAGTACTTGGATGTGAAATCTATTTTCAATTACCTATGAACATTGATACCATGAGACTTGGAAAAACAAAAAAGTCTAATCGCTAAGTATAATTAATAAGTAGTTTTTTTTTTTATTTTTATGGTCGATTTCAATAATATACATTTTCGCATTAGAATGTTCGAGATTATATAATAGAGATTAATATAATACTCATGAAACTCGAAAACTCTATTTCAATCATATAAACTAAATACAATTTATAAATATTATTTTTCGTATAAATGAGATTATTCCCATATTTGAATTTCATGATTTAATACTTAATCAATTGTGTTTATGTACTCTTTTGCATACTTTAATGAATTATCGGCTGAATAAAGCTTTTTTAAATTTAATAACTTAATTCTAATACAAAATATATAATTTGCTCTTCGATAAATGATAGATTACGAAAAAAATCAATAGATAAGAGATTTAAATACAATTAATTATTCGGCAATGAGTTGAATAGAAACCACAAATGCTTTATCTCTATACGTTTAGATGATTACTATTTGTACTATTAAGAAATATTAATAATTACGATTAATAATTAGAATTTTAAACGCTAAAATTTTTTATTTAGCATTTTTTTTTCTTTACTCAACTTCATTGAAAACGCCAGATTATCTTATTAAACCGAATTTTCGCCCTTTGAGAAAAGAAATTTTCACATATTTGCTCACTATTGAATTTTCGTAAAGGTTAGTACCAATAGTTTTTTTTTTTTTTAAAGCCTTTGCAATTCGATCGTTTTCGCCATCGAGATCAGCCCTCCAGAAACGGCTTATCGAAAAAATTTATAATAAAAGAACATTCTATTTCTATATTTCTTATTTTGCCAACCATCTCTTTCATCTTTCTCGGTCTTAGGACGAAAACTCGTAGCAAAATAATGTTTATTTTAATTTCGGATAAACCAGAGTTTAGTCATAAATTTTAATACCAAGCACTTAAAAACTCAATAGATTGTATTATTTTATTTTTAAAACACCTGTAAAATAAGAAAATTTAATAATGATAAACGTGAAAATGTAAGAGAAAGAAAAATTAAAATTTTATATACATATGATCGATTGATTAACCTACTATAAATTTCATTAACTAACTATAAAAATATAAATAATTAGAAATATTTTTAAGAATAGAAAAAAAAATATTTTAAATAATAATACATTCTTATCGTGCCTGACATCTACAAATAAATGTTAAGTTTCTTTCTAAATTTTCGTTACAAAATCCATATTGATATTTTTTTAAATATTAAAAACTATTAATGTTGCAAAGAAATAATACACACGCGAATATAATATTCATAAAAAAAATTGGTATATGCATTTTGCACATTTACGGCTTATTTAATTTGTTCAATGTGTCTTAATGAAATTAAATTTTACCTATAATTTATTTTAAACAGATTATTTTAATTTTCATTTGTTAATACATTATTAACAATTAGCGGTCAAAATTAAAAATGACGGAGTACAAAAAATTGTTTAATAAAACGCCGTATTTTTGGTTTATCTTATGACCGGATAAATTGTACTTTAAATTCAAGGAATAATTAAGGGAAAAATTATGATAATTAAAATAGTTATGATTTCGCATTATAAAATATATAATTCTATAGATAATTCAGAATTTCTATATAAATGTTTTGCATAATTAAATGTTTTTTATCTTGTAAAGATAATTGTAGTTGCTGCAATAATTGCGAACAAGAATAACTAGTAAACCATTAATTTATTTTTCTTAAATATTCAATAGAATAGAACCGAAAAAGTTGCGAAAACTCATCTATTGTATTGATTTTTTAGTTAAGAAAATATAAATCTATGTTAACTATATTATAAATAATTGTTTACCAAAAGTTAAAGATGATTTTTTTTTCTTTTTTTTTTTTTAATGCATTATATTCTTCGTATAAATATTTGTCATGAATTCGAAGACGAAGAATGGAAAATCTTTGATATTTATTATCGTACATTCCAGATTCTAATTGATTTGATTTTTATGTAGTGTAGCGATCCTTCGCAAAAACAGTATGTATGTGTTTATTCACTTGTTTGTTTCATCAAGTCGCATTATCGAACCATAAAGCTTACGTTTCACTTGTCTCAACTGCAGTTGCAATAAAAATATGTTAAATATCGTGAACATACATATTCGACGTAATCTTTTTATTTCTCATGTTTATCTAGTGAACGTTTTACAATGATTTTTCGTCTAATTTCCAAGCTATCGAGAAGCCATGAAAAATGGTATTTAAGAAGCCTGTTGAGATTTTCCACTAAACTTAAACCCATTTTATTTCAAATTATCCACTGATATTTCGGCAATTAAAAAGCTCGTAACTCAAGTAAATATCAAACATTCAACATAGGAATGTGATTTTGAGTAATATAGTGGCGGGATAGGGAGGGATGGAGGGAGGGAGGTAG